TAGATGTTTCCATTTGAGCTTAGCATTATGTTCTTCTCTTTGTCTCAGAGCACAGAGGAGGTAAGATTTGTTCACACTTTTTTGGTAAGAACAAAGATCCTTTTAGCTTCATATCCAACAGTGGCCAGAAGCAGATGCATGAAGAACAAGAGCAGGAGACTAGAAAGGATACTTCCCACTAGTAATCTCCCAGCTATTAGACATCAGAACAAGGACTTCGAATCACATATGGTTCCTTTGTATTTACCTGTGAATCCTGAAGGTTGGACTTACCTGTAAAGACTGAGTCAAAGAAGGCACCAAGTGCTTCAGCTTTTTCAGTGTCTTTTGTCTCCAGATCCCCTACCCCAGTCAGTAGTGGGCCCACATTTTCCCTAGTCCTTCTTTGGTTGATGCTGTACCTCTAGAAATCTTTTTGTTGCCCTTCAGATGTCTCGCCAGATTCAACTCCAGATGCACTTTGGCTTTCCTAACCCAATCCCTTCATGAACGGACAGGGTCTCTATAACCCTACCAGATCATCTTCCTCTGCTTCCACCTCTTACACATTTCCTTTTTATTTATGAGTTTATTCAGGAGCCACTTGTTCATCATTTTGGCCTCCTGCCACTTTTGCTTGACTTACTGCTTTGTCAAGATGAACCATTCTTGAGCTTGAAGGAGCTGATCTCTGAAAATCAAGCAGCTCTCCTACACCTCTCCTCTGTCCAGGATGAAAACCCATGGGATTCTTCCAAGCAGATCCCTGAAGAGCCCAAATTCTGCTCTCCTGAAGTCCAAGGCTGCGGTCCTGCTTTTTGCATTCATCCCTCCTCTCTGGATCCTGAGCTCAAACAATGCATGATCACTGCAGCCAAGGCTGCCCCTGACCTTCACATCCACCACCAATGTGTCCTCATTTGCAAGTAGAAGGTCCAGATCCTCAATCACTTGTGTCAGCAAGTTTTCATCAGTACACTCTAGAAAACTTGCCCAATTCCTTATGCCCTGCTGTGCTGTCCTGCCAGCAGACATTTGGCATGATTCATGCTTGGTCCCATGAGGACCAGGGCCAGCGAATGTGAGGCTTCTTCCAGTTGTCTGAAGAAGGCCTTGTCTACTTCTTCTTCCTGATCAGGTGATCTCTAGTAGCCACCAACCACAATGTCACCCATGCTGGTCTGCCCTCTAATCCTAACCCATATGCTATCAGCTGGCTCATTGTACATCCCAAAGCAGAGCTCCATGCATTCCAGCTGCTCTCTGACAGAAAGGGCAATTGCCCCTGCTCGCCTTCCCACCAGGTCTTTCCTAAACAGCCTGGCTCCATCCTCTGCAGTACTTCTTTAAGCTACCCCACTGCACGTCCATGATCCCATAGCTCTGCAACCAGGCCGTGGAGGAAAAACTGGGCCATGCTGGAGAGGAGCCCAGGCAATGTGCACTAACCTGCACTTCACCATGCATTTCAGTTCTTGGATTACGTGAGCCATCCCACCACATCTGTGTTGTCAATGAGATCATAGCACTGCAACTACTAGCAGAGCTCTAATTTTTCTTGTTTTTTCCTCATATTCCATGCATTTGTGCACAGGCACTTTAAAGAGGCACCCAGTCATGCTGATCCCAGAAACTCTATATGAGGGCTTTCTTTTTCCCCATAGATACTTCCTTATTGATGTACACACAGTTGAAGTGCACCCCTTTCAGCCCCCTTTTTTTTTAATTATGAAGCCTGTCCTGTTCATATCACTTGTCATACATTTTGTACCAACCCTTCCCACCACATTCTCACTTGATTATTTATCATCCTCTTCCTCCCCTGTTGTTCCTAGTTTAAAGCTCTTCTTATCTGGAGAGGAGCCCAGGCAATGTGCACTAACCTGCACTTCACCATGCATTTCAGTTCTTGGATTACGTGAGCCATCCCACCACATCTGTGTTGTCAATGAGATCATAGCACTGCAACTACTAGCAGAGCTCTAATTTTTCTTGTTTTTTCCTCATATTCCATGCATTTGTGCACAGGCACTTTAAAGAGGCACCCAGTCATGCTGATTTCCCAGAAACTATAAGAGGGCTTTCTTTTTCCCCATAGATACTTCCTTATTGATGTACACACAGTTGAAGTGCACCCCTTTCAGCCCCCTTTTTTTTTAATTATGAAGCCTGTCCTGTTCATATCACTTGTCATACATTTTGTACCAACCCTTCCCACCACATTCTCACTTGATTATTTATCATCCTCTTCCTCCCCTGTTGTTCCTAGTTTAAAGCTCTTCTTATCGGGTTGACCAGCCTGTTGGCAAAGAAGTTTTTGTCCCATTTAGTCAGGTGGATCCCATCTCTTCCAAACAGTCCTCAATCCTCAAAGAGGGTCGCATGGTCATAGAAACCAAGTCCCTTTTGCCAATGCCAGCTGTACAATCAACTGTGACCAGCAGGATCCATCCACTCCTCCTTCTCACCGCTCTCCCCCTCACCAGCAGGATCAAAGAGAAACCCACCTGGGCCCACATGCCCTTGACCATGACCCCCAGAGTCTGCTTGCTACTTTCCAGGACTCCCCTGGCAGTATCATTAATGCCCACATGGAAGAGCAAGCAGGGGGTAGTAGTCTGTAGGTGTAATAAGTTTTGCAAGTCTTTTAACAATGTCCCCAGTCAAAGTCCTTGGCAAGAGTAAACCTCCCTAGATGACAGGTCCAGCTGTCAGAGGGGACTTCTGTTCCCTGCAGCAGGGAGCCTTCCATTACTAACACTCACCACTTTTTCTGGTGCTCCCTGTGTGGCTCATGGTCAATGGGCTCAGACACCTAATTTGACAGAGCTCCCAGCCCCTGATTTGCTATGACAGCACTGAACCTATTCTGTAGTTTTCAGGTGAAGCAAGAGCCTTCCTCTTGGTGTCAGAAGTCACAAACTCCCAGCCTTCGTCGTCATGGGAATCTCCATTTCTGTGGTGGGTTGACCCTGGCTGGACACCAGATGCCAACCAAAGCTGCTCTATCACTCCCCCTCCTCAACTGGGCAGGGGAGAGAAAATATAACAAAAGGCTAGTGAGTCGAGATAAGGACAGGGAGAGATCACTCACCAATTACCATCACAGGCAAAACAGACTCCACTTAGGGAAAATTAGTTTAATTTATTACCAATCAAATCAGAGTAGGATAATAAGAAATAAAACCTGAATCTTAAAAACACCTTCCCCCCACCACTCCCTTCTTCCTGGGCTCAACTTCACTCCTGATTTTCTCTAACTCTTCCCCGCCAGTGGTGCAGGGGGATGGAGAATGGGGGTTCCCCTGCTCCAGCGCGGGGACCCTCCCCTTTGAGACAGTCCTCCATGAACTTCTCCAACATGAGTCATTCCCATGGGCTGCAGTTCTTCACAAACTCCTCCAGCATGGGTCCAGTCCATGGGGTCACAGGTCCTGCCAGCAGCCTGCTCCAGTGTGAGCTTCCCACGGGGTCACAGTCTCCTTCAGGCATCCACCTGATCCGGCGTGGGGTCCTCCATGGGCTGCAGGGTGGATATCTGTTCCACCGTGGACCTCCATGGGCTGCAGGGGGACAACCTGCCTCACCATGGTCTTCACCACGGGCTGCAGGGGAATCTCTGCTCCAGCGTCTGGGCGCCTCCTTCCCCTCCTTCTTCACTGACCTCGGTGTCAGAGTTGTTTCTCTCACATATTCTCATTCCTCTCTTCTCCAGCTGCAGTTGCGCAGTTTCCCCCCCCGCTTCTTAAATATGTTATCACAGAGGCACTACCACCGTCGCTGACTGGGCACGGGCAGGTCCATCTTAGATCAGGCTGGCATTAGCTCTATCAGACATGGGGGAAGCTTCTAGCAGCTTGTCACAGAAGCCACCCCTGTAGCCCCCCCACTGCCAAAACCTTGCCACGCAAACCCAAAACAATTTCCCATCTTGATGGGCACAGACTCAACCTGCCTCTCCTTTGTTAGAAAAGGGAGGAGTGGGCTCTTGAAGATGCAGGGTGTCAGAGATTGAGTCCATCTCTTGCCATCAAGGTCCAGATAGTGCTAATGATGCAGAAATTGATCATCATGAAGGATTTGATCAATCTGCAACAACTCCTTTACTCTTTAATAGCCACTTCCATGGGTACAGTGCCTCTACCTAACAAAGAACAATCATTTTGCCTACTTTCTCATCTTACGTAAAACAGCATAAAGACTTCCTAAGACATCAAATGACCCACAGACACCAACCCTAAGAGCCCAGATCAGGCACATTCCTCACGCTCCTGAGCATTGAAACCAAATTCAAGGTGAAAAAGTAGACAGCTTCCTGCAACACAGAATGATTTTCATAAATGCTTTGAAATAGCACTAAAAGTACTCTTTTTTTTTTTCCTGCTTTCTATCCAGCTTAATTCCATGAGACTTTTCAGAGGTGTCGTGTATTTCCAAAGTTTTGACTTATAATTCAACCTTTTTGGTCTTATTTTAGACCATTCTTTTAAAGCCATATAATGATTCTTCATGTGGTATGTTGGGGCAGAAAGCACTCAAGAAGTCATGTGACTGCCAGTATAATCCAAAATTCTGTGTAGTGATATAGAAGAGACAGTTTTTGTAATGGAATATATCACTGTGTTTGGGAACTGGGGTACCACAATGATATAAACAACATAGGGCCCTGTACAAAAACCCAAAGACGGAAAAAAGGCAATATATTTTGGGGAAGAAAGGAGATGGGTGACTGAAATGATTAAGGAGACAAATACAGCATTGTTTTCATATTTCTATTTATCCTGGAAATATAGAACTCACAGGGTTTCTAAAAGATGGAAGAAAGGGAGAACTTTGAAATTCTGTATTCAGTCAAGCTATTTGAAATCATTGAACTATTCAATTATTGCTTTTCCCTTTCCAGTTTTGGAAGAAAATGTGGCTTTGGATACCCTCTTGGGATTGCATACATGGATAATAAGGACAAATATCTGGGTTTTCATCTCCTGTTTTTACAACATTTTTGAATACCATTTATTGGACTAAGTATTAGCAGTGTGGGGACAGATAAGCTTATATTCGGAAGTGGGACTACTCTCACAGTTGAACCAAGTAAGTATAATTATTTTATCTCTAAAAATTATGTTAAAATTAAGGTGGGGGAGGACAAAAGAATCTAATGGTTTGGGTTCACTGTAAGAATTTTCTGTTGCAATAATCCCTAGAGTGCACTCTCTCCAGCCAGAGTTTCAAGCTGAATCCTCAGGTTGTATCTGCTTAGGAAGGCTTTAGAGGAACAACTGGGCTACCTCTGTATATCAGCATTACTCCATGATCGTCAGCCACCTGGTGTGCACTACTTAAGTTTAACATGTTAAACATGTTGTCTGGATAGCACTCTGGCCCAAATTTACTGTGAAGTGTCCTATCTGCCAGTGGATTTTCACTGCCTCATTTTGAGCAGGAATGCACAGCTCAGTGAAGAGCTGACAGTGGAGAGAAGTTTTGAGACAGATCTTTAGCTCTCTGGTATGAGAAGTTAGGTTTTGACACTGGCACCACACTCACAGTGTCACCAGGTAAGTAATTCCACTGGCATGGAGACAGAGGAGGAAGGAGGTTAAATATCCTTGGGCTTAAATTTTCACAGCTGCCTGATATCCAAGACTACTTAGAATGAATGAAAATTGACTACCAAGTTGCCTAGGCTTTGAAAATGCAGATGTTGTGAGTAGGGATTATAACAAGCCTTACTTCTTCCTACCTTTATTTGCAATTTCAAAAAAGGTGGATGTCACCCCAAGCTTTTCTGTGGGAGTGCAAATGTTGGGGCAGCAGGGGAGTTTGTTAGGTTGATCTTTGTTATCCTAAACATCCAGGTGCATACCTTAAGACTTGTTACGATGCTTTCAGAGATCTGCATATCTTTAAAGTGCTGAAAAATTGTCCCATGTAATTTTCCGTACCTAAAACATCCTGCTCTCATTCCAGAAGGGCATGGGGCTCCCTTAGGTGCTGCCTAATATCTGTCCAGATCTGTAGGATATCTTGCATGGGAATAAATGTCTGTTTTGGAACAATTTAAGTCCACCCCAATTCCAAAGGGGCAAAGGAATACAAAGTTATCATTCTGAAGAAAGGTCTGTTCTTTCCAACCAGCAAATGCTCAGTTGTAAATGTAGGACCAAAAGAAGCTGCCAGATTCCCTTATTTTAACATCAGTCAACATTGATTTGAAGATGGTATTTGTAAAAAAAAAAGAGGTAAAATATCCCATAGAGAATACTAGAATTTGGCAAGAAAAAGCAACCAACAAAACACAGTCTAAGAGCTGGCAGGTGGAAGATTGAGATGGTATTGCCATTTCAGACATTTACAGAAATGCTGATATGATATGCTTGTTTCTCACATAAAGGGTCTTATGGATTTTTTTTAAAAGTGTTGGTTCTTCCACTGACAAAAGATTTCTTTCTAATCAGCTGAAGGTAGTATGTGGCTCATTGACTGCAACAAGATATTCTTGGTTTAAACAAACTTTTACAGTACATTACTCAAATTTCTAAAACATCTTCACTGAGTTTCCCACCATTTGAGTTAGAGAACAGTTCATTTGATGAAAGAAAGGTATTAGCCTTGTCTTCTTGTCTACTCCAAAACGCTTTAAATAATTCTTTCTCTGTTTTTCCTGCCTATCTATCCTCTCTGACATCCTGATGCAAAATTACATGATCAATGATTTCTCTTTTTCTAGCTAAGGATAGGATGACATTTTCAAACATGCACAAAGACTTTAGGATTATTTTGACAGTAAAAGATAATAGGCCTTAAGCATCTAAATCACTCAGTGTCTGTTGAAATACTTCATAAGTCAAAATTTCCAGAATTTGCACAACCTCACCTTTTTGTTGGTAAATTTGGATTTCTTTGGGAGATACTGATATGCATTTTAAGATGCTAAGAACAGAGGTACTTTATTACCCAAATCTTTTTAGAATCTGTAAACACAAAATGACATAGAAAACATGCATTAGTAGTCACTATAGGATATTCAAGGCATATTCTCCTCTTGAGGGCTCAGTTAAGGACAGATAAGGTTTTTGTTTTGCTTTGGTTTTGTTCATTCTAGATAAAACTTTCATTAAGAAAACTAAGGCCCATAACATTATGGAATATATAGCTATTCCTATGACCTCATAAGATTAAAGGGAAAAGAAGTACAACTTTTTGTGCTAATAAAATGCTACTGCCAGAATGTAATATAAAAAAATCCCTCCCAAAAGCAAGCAGCGGTAGGAATTCATGGCTGTATTTTCAGGTAATGCAAAATAGTGGGACTCAGTTGAGGCTTCTGGGGTCTGATAAAGAGATAATTCTGCTTTATTAACTACAATTGCACAGTGTACATTTGTTCTTGCTGAAGATTTTACCCGGTGAGTTATGCCAGAGAATGCCAGAGAAGCAGCTTTCTTGGATACTGGCTGTTTGGAAATACTGGAGATCAGAAAAAATGAGAAGCCTCTAAAGATCTTCTCAGATAACAAAGAATGCACAGGACTAACAGGCTCTGGCAAAAATATGTTACAGCACCTGGAAAGGAAATGTATGTAGGAGGAATAGCAAAATGAGCCTTTTTTGATTTACGTGTTTTAACTGTGTGATACTGCTGCTCTTGTCTTTGGGAATGGGACTCAACTGACCGTGGAGCCAAGTAGGTATTCTTTATGCATTAACCTTTTCTGAGTTGTTATTGTTTGGATTTTCACTTTTTTTCTTTTTCTTCCTCCTAAAATTCAGGCAGCCACTCCCCCATTCTTTAAAGTCACTAATTAGACTTTAGGCTTTCTATGCATAAGCTTTTGATATGCGATTAGACAATTTAAGTATAAAAAGCATGCTGATTGCAGTTCTGGGAGTTGCTAAAGAATTTGGGCTCCACAAGGACAAGTCCTGGCTGCTATCATGCTGAATTTCTTTGGGACCTAACATCTATCCGCTTACTGAGGCATCCTAATAAGCTTTCCACAGTAATTGTTAACCCTAACCCTAACCCCTAACCCCTAACCCCTAACCCTAACCCTAACCCTAGGGTTAGTCTGAAGGGAATTAAAGTTCCTGTGGAAGTTGACATTTAAGTTCCTAAGAATTTCTCTTCTGTCGGAGTTAGAAAGACAGCACTGAGGGGAGAGAAGGATAATATACAAAAGCATTAAATGGAATCTTATGCAACTTATTCTGTACTAGTTTAATCTTACTAAACTGTTCAGAGTTTGAGTTAAACTGAATAGGTCAAATGAAGTCAATGGATGTTTGATTCCTGTTTGATAATCTGTTTGCTGTAGGTGTTGACAGGCATGGAGTTGTGCCTGTTTTGTTAGTAGAGCCAACCCATGAAGTTATGGTAGAGTACTACTTCACTTTCACCTCAGTTCCTCAGTATTGGGGTGTGGGTGGTGGGGGCAAAGAGAGTAAAATCAGAGCCTCTAGAACAGAATTTGAAAAAAATACCCTGTGATGAACAAAATGTTAGACCTGAGCGATCTCTTGACCAAACTGTAAGGCAGATGTCATGCAAAATTCAAGGCCTAATGCACCTCTCTTTAGCAAAGAGACCCATCAGGATACTCCTGTCAAATTAGACATGTAAATCTTTTTTGATATGTCTCATAGTCTTTCCTAAGCTGAGCCCTTTTTGGCAAGGAAGCATACTAGATGATGCCCTTCAGTTTCATGTTTTTATTATAATTCATGTTGCTAATCTTGTTCCGACATTGGTATGTGGAATCACACTAGTTTCTCCACCTATGACCTCAGGGCAAAGATATTTTATTTTAAAAAAATCATTATATCATAATGATTTGTTGGCTACTAAATTATTTTGAGACTGTTTCCTGAAAAGACATCCCCTTCAAGTTTAAGCGATCTTACTTCATTACTTGTACAGAGAAGACTGCTGCTATATAGTTGAAATTCAGGCTTTTACAGTTGTCAAGTCTTTGTCATTCATGTATCTTGCTTGGAATTGGGAATTCAGCTCTAAAATTATTTCAAAACAGAAAAAGTACATCTGAAACTTTCAGAGTAAATCTCCTGAAAGATGCATGAGAGAGCAAGGATACCAAATCCTGTGAAAACTTGTCAGCATCTTTTAGGTTTTTTCAAAAATCCAGTTCTAGGGCACTATTTTCATGCCTTGATGTTTGTTGGTATCTTGACCCTAAAGAACTACCACAGAAGGTTATTACACTAATCTAAGGAAGATCGTAAGAAGATTTGTCCATGGACATCAAGTTCATAGGCCTCGAGGTGTTCTTCCCTTCAAATCAGTTTATTATAAAATCGTGCCTTATACTTCTGGCTGCCCCTGGAGCTGTGGGACTAACAATATGGCACAGCACATGGATGAGAAAGGTCACACTTTTTGGAACAGGCACAAGAATTTTTGTTGAACCGAGTACCAATCCTATTCTCTTTTCATTGTCTCCAGACTAGGTTGGAATGTCTTACACCACGTGCAATGTCTAGTGGGGAAAACTTCCCCCACAATTGAAAGTTATTGACCTTACCAGAAACTCCTGGAGAAGTGGAGATACGCAATTCACAGACTTCTGATTGCTTCTCTCCTACTTTCCCATCTTAGAGACAAAAATCCTTCTTGCATCTGAGCATTTATTATTGAAAAGATCAACCTTGTCCCCCACTCCAGCAGCAGTACTTCATTTCTGCAAGTAATGTCATTCCTTGGAGTATCCTTGCACGACAGTGACGCAACAAACTGACTTCTCTTTGCCCTACCACTCTTGCTATGGTTAGACCTTTCAGCCACATCAGAAGATTTGGGGGAGGGGAGGGAGAGTAAAGGAAAAACAGTTATTCCTTCATGTCTCATGAATATGCAAGAGAGTCCTTGATAGCAGTGTTATTTTTAGGAATTAAATTGTTGAGAAGCCAGAACAATTTGACTCTTGGAGTGGCATGCATAAAAGTTCTCTTCTCATTTGCAGGTCCGTTACTTATAAAATAAAGAACTCACATATAGGCACGAGCTTTGGCAAGAGGAAGTTTAGAAACCTGTGGAATTAAAGCTCCTATAAAAAAACCTACTCTCATATACCCTTTCTGTCTTTGATCTTTTGGAAGCAGTGGCAAGAAATAATGACAAAAAAGGCAGTTAGTCATTGATAATGCTAGGAATTAATCACAGCTGGAATATATATGAACTTTAGGTTCTCAGTAGGTTCTCAGTACTCAGGCAAGCTTGCAATAAAATCAAATCATGTCCAAACAATGCTTTGTTTTTCAGACAATCAAAAAAGTTCTGACTCAGAAGTCATTGTGATGAAATCAAAGAAACTGGAAGAAGATGGCAGCACTGGGAAAGCAGTTTGTTTGGCAAGGAATTTTTATACAAAGTACATAACCTTGGAGATGTCCTCTGAGGAGCGCATATATGAACAGAGTACAGTCGTATATGAACAGAGTACACCTATTTTGACATCAGAGGGGTTGTACAATACTATTAAGGTGGTCAATGTGACAAAAGGCAAAGAAGTGACCTGCATGGCCAAATTCGACGGAGGGACTATTACAGCCAACACAACATTGCCAGGTACAATTTTGTGGTACAGCTGCAACTTATTTCTGGAGGCAGTGTCTTCTAGCGCTTGCTATTTCTCCTGCTAGTAAGCATTGCCCTGGGTAACCAGCAGAAATGGGAAAGACATCTGGTACTTAAGCAGGTAGAGCTGAAAGATATTTTAAAGCATCTATAATAAATGGTCTTAACTGTTTAACAACTTGGAGTTACTTTTCTTGAGGGAAAAAAAGACACAATCTTTTTTTAAAACGTACATTTACTTATGACTAAATGCTTCACCACATAGTAGCAAACCTCCTAGAGTACAGCCTGAAATAGCTGTTCTAAAAACAACAAAAAGTTAAAGTGGTGGTGTGGGTTTTTTTTCCCTAAACCACTTTTCATATTTTGGGGGATTGTTTTTGTCATCATGAAGCTCATTGAAATAGTAAAACCAAAACAACTCAGGAATTCTTTTTTTTCCTGCAATTGCATGGAGAAATCTTCTCCTCAAATTAATGTTAGAATTAGTGACTGGTCATCTGAGCCTCAGACTCTACTGTCCACATGTTCCTACGGGAAGGGTCATATGAACATTTTGTTTAACCCTTTTTAAAATTTGGATATAGTTTAAAATGCCTTTTCTATATCATGTTACAGAAAAGAAGGCTGAAGGACCAGTAACAGGGAAGGTCTGCAACACCACAGACACCTCTGCACAAGGTTAGTTACCTAAATAGATTGTGAAGTTACATTACTATGTTGGGGATAAATGCATGGAAATGTATTTTCTCAGGGGTAGAGGAATCAGAATACAACATATTCATCAAACACAACCTGTTTTTTCAAGGTAGCTAGTTTAGTAACAGACAACTAACAGGAACCAAATCCAGTCTAGACAGAAATCTTCCTCCCCTGTTGCTGCCATGTTCCTCTATCATCTTTTCCTTTGCTGCTGTTTCTTTCCCTGAAATGATTACCTGTGGGTTTTTTCACTTTCTGCCAATAACACAATATCCAAATCTGGACCATGATCTCTCCCATCTTTTCTCTATCACTAAGCAGATACCAAAGTGGAGAAAGCGAACATGCTGTCTATGGCTGTGTTGGGTTTGAGAGTTCTGCTGGCAAAAAGTATCGCCTTCAATACACTCATGAGTATCAAGTTGTTTCTTTTCTGAGGTAAGGAAGCACATAGCTTGATCTGTAGAAATACTGGAAGCACATGCCAGGTATGACTGCTTGCCTTTGTGTACTTCTCTAACGCACAAGGAATGATACCTGTTCATTTGCTCCTGTTTCCGTTAAATAACTCTTGTAGGTTTCTGGGGAAAAAACAAACAAAAAAACCCCCCACAAACCCCCCCAACCCTCCCCCCCAAAAAACCACAAAGAAAACAGCCCCTTTCTGTATCCAAAGCTCAGTTCTTGGTGGCTGGTCCCCAAATTTTCTTTGCAGCAAACTTGTTTTGCCAGAGCAGCTCAGGTATTACCAGAAGTGCCTAAGAGAAATCTCATTGACTATTTCAAGTGGCAAAGCACAAAGCCTGGAGAAAAATCAAGGCAAATAAGGAGTCAAAAACAAGGTTCCCAAAACACAAACATATGAAGTAGTGGGAGGAAAGAGAGGCAGGGGGGAGGATTTTTAAATTAAGGTATCCAAACAGGCACAAAAGATAGTCCAGTGTATGTTTTGTGAGTCTACCTGTCTTGATTTAACAGCTATCAGTGGTGCATAGGCCCAATTGCATTAAATGTAATTTAAACACACTTTGCTTTTCCAGGCAGTGGGGAAGCAAGGCAACAGCAATCTGAAGAACAGCAGGCAAGAGCGTGTACCAGCAGCACAATGGGTTGAACAGCCGATGTCAAATCCGCTGACAATAACCATCCAGAACACAATACAACACCTTCCCCTTAAGACATTTTACACTGTTGAATCCTGCCTAGCTAGTTTATGTAGTAAGAGTTGTAACTGCTTTTGCTATTTCTTTTTCTCTGTGAACTGAGGAGAGTGTATTTTTCCTCATCCCCCTGCTAAGTAGAAATTGATCTCCCCACTCTTCTAGCCTTTGCATAGAAGCATCCAACCTGCTTCAATAGTTATGAGAAATCCAAACCTCACTATAGATATATGACCCTTTTAAAACACCTTTAACAGGCATATTGCATTACTGTCTGTAGAACTGATGTATTACTGCTTAGAAAATTCAGGCACGGTAGATGCTATTTATAGCTTTAATGTTTTTTAGATAGCTTTAATAACAATAATTTTCTAGTGTAGATGAGAAGACCTGTGTTGGATCAGAAGTGATTCACTTCAACCAGATAATGTTCAACTATAGAAACATTTTTATTTGCATTTCTTTATTAAACCTGTATTTCTTCTGCAAAGTGTATGGCACCTGCATTTGAGGTTACTGTAGTAGTGACCAAAATAAAGTTTTACTAAGCCGCTTTAATAACAATAATTTTCTAGTGTAGATGAGAAGACCTGTGTTGGATCAGAAGTGATTCACTTCAACCAGATAATGTTCAACTATAGAAACATTTTTATTTGCATTTCTTTATTAAACCTGTATTTCTTCTGCAAAGTGTATGGCACCTGCATTTGAGGTTACTGTAGTAGTGACCAAAATAAAGTTTTACTAATCCAAAATGCTGTGGTTTGTTCTGTGCTCTTTCTTCTGAATTTGGGTTGAAGATTGCTGAAATCCAAGTATCCTAATGACCAGTAAGATTAGAAATACAGCTTTGATAACCTAGATTTCCTGTTGGCTGAATTTGTCTTGTCTAGACTTTGTGCAGGGAAGTGGAGATTCTCTTTGGCACATTAAAAAGCTTCAGCAGGGCCCTGAATTCTAGACTTAGAGGATTCAAATGAGGTCTGATCTTTCAGATCACTTTGAAGAGACCCCAGCAAGATATTTTGGATCATGTCAAAAAAAGATATGTGTCTAAGGAGAAATCCGTTAAGAGGCCGCCTGATATGAGCATAAGGAAGGAAAATACATATCAGAAGAGAAGAAAACATGCTGGGTTTTTTCCACTCATTGGTACTAGGAAGATGCCAACAGAAAAGAATGTATAGTGGTTTGATGGAGCGATAGTTTCCATAGCAACTTGTTTATTAGTCAAAAAAACCCCAAGACACATATTCCCCAACTCATCTTTCTCTCACAAGCAACAAGCAGGATGCTGTGGTCAACATTTATGACTAAGTTACACCATGCAAGATTAACCCCCCCTTGCTTTGAAAAACAAGTTAACCACATCCTGAAGGGGAAATAAGGTTTTTCACATACTGACTGAGCTGGCTTCAAGACAGCCTCTCCAGAATGCATAATAAGGTCTGTTTAATAAAGCTTTGTCAGGTGTCAGGCCCTGCAGACACCTAGAGGAAGACCCTCACCCTATGCAGAAGATAAGTGAAATTTGCATGGCAAATCCAAAACCAGTAAAATGCTCTTTTTAGTGCATTCTACCACTGTAATGTAAATCAAGGGGAGCTGTTCACTAGTATTTTTATCCTAATTTTCTGATGACACCCTGAACCTTTTTATCTTGCACTCCAACCTTTTCCCAATCTCTCAGGCAAGACTGAGACCGGGAGTACCATTTCTGTGTGTCTGTGCAAATCAAGGCATGACATTTTCCTGAGTAGTTCTTGGTTGTGCCTAAGACCTTTGGCAGAATTAAAATCCTGCAACACTGCACAAGCAAAAAGAGGGATCTACAAATGTCTGACTACTGAGGGAAGGCATTGACTCATACAGAAATTTATCAGCCAGATAAAGACATCAGTCTCTATTGTTTCAAACACCCATCCACATGGTGTAGGACACCAGAGCCCTCATTTCCATCATGAAGAGTCATGACCTAAGTGATACCTCCATGGTCAGGTTTTTCAGACCTCCCTGTGCACCACTGGGAAACCGGTTGGTGTGGGAACATCTGTGCCCTCACTAACCCCCTAAAGTGTCAGTCACCCAAGTCTCTGTTATCTAGGTCTCAGTCAAAAAAAAGAGAAACTGATGTCTTTGAGAAGATGGTTCAAAGTCTTCAGATCTGTGGATCATGAGAAGGAGGGAATACCCATCCATCAACCTCTTACCACAGTCTATCACTCACCCACAGTGAGCAGAATTAGTCCCCATTGGGGTGGACTAGCCTGGTGGCCAGACCTGTGGCTCCCCTAAGACTTTATTTCAGGTCAGAGTATGTGAAAAAAGAGGGCTGTGTCACAGCTGGCCAAAATAATGTTTCTGAGACATGATGCCAAGGATGGATACTGAAGACAGCCCAGGCATCCTCATACTGTATCCAAAGTGGGTGCAGTCTATTTTTCCCACTTTATCTGGAGAAAACTATTTTGTTGGCTGCGTCTGGCCTTCTTCTGGAAGGAAAAGATTACCTTCCTGTGGCAAGAAGCAGCTTATGCTGGCTTAGACTAACTGGGGATAAGAAAGGAACAGGGAACAAACTGCATAAATACACCCGTCGGGAGAAGTCTCTTGGTATCTGTACCCAGTGAGGAATTTTGGCACCTAGGCAGCCTAGAGAAGGGAAGTTAATGGGAAAGGCAATAACATATTAGACCACAAGATCCATCTGGAAGAAACAGATACATGTGCAGACACACAACTCCTTTCCAGCTCTTAAACTTCTAGTCAGATTGTGCTGGATTTTTTATTTGAACCATTTTCCCTGTCAGGAGCTGTCCAGGTCTAATTGTTTTAGTTTGAGTTAGGAAAGAGTCTGTAGCCCCTCTGTCCTATTTTCTGTCATTGTGGCTTCCTGATTGCCTCCCCCTAGCAGTGGCTTTTCACTTTACAGTTGCAAATCTATAATTTTGAGCCAATGCAGAACATGCAGCTTAAGAAAACAGGAGAATATCATTGTTTGCAGAAGAAAATCCGTAACAGGGAGCTTTTGTACAGCCCAATAGTAAGACTGTGTTGCTGTGGCTAATTCCACAGAAGAGGGCAGAGTTTGCAGCTTTCCCAGCTTGATATGAGCTAAGGGAAAGTTGTTGTAGAGAAATTGTGCTCCACAGTAAAATATCCTCTGTTAAAATCAGCACCTTGGGATTTAGAATTATCCCTATACAGGAGAAAACACATTGTCCTGTAAGAGATCTGATGATACCAGAATAATTGAGGATGATGATAAGCAGAACTCTTTAGTACAAAACATTTTACTATCCATATTCTCCTACAGATTTAATTATGTCCATATCTGATTGTGTTCACATGGCCTTTGAATATCTCCAGGGGTGGAGTCACTATCCCTGGAGATATTTAAAACCATCCGGACATGGTCCTCGGCAAACAGCTCTAGATAGTCCTGCTTAAGCAGGGGAAACCAGATGACCTCCAGAGGTCCCTTCCAACCTCAATTGTTCTGTATTTCTGTGATACCTTTGTCCTACACAGAACGTTTGCCTGGAAATTTCAAAGAACAAAGCCCAGACTAGGAGTATAATTATTTGGGTAAGAGACATAAATCACACATTAACAGTGCAATTCAGTAAGGAAAAAAAGCAGCTTATCTTGCCCCATAGCTGTAGACAGAGTGGTCAGGAGCACTAACACAGTCAAATAAAGCACAGGAAGATAAGTAAGTCATGAGATACTTAACAAAAGACAAAAATGCAGTATGGGACTTGAGAAGACAATGATAGCAGTAACACTTAGCACAAGGGCTTGAATGCTTTTCTTTGCCATCTCTCACAATGAGAGATGGAGGAGAACTGAACCTCAATCAGTTTCAATATTGTTGGTGTGAGGCAGGCTGTAGGGAGTTGAAGCCCACAGCTCATGAGTGAAGTCCATTCTGAGCAAGCCCAGGGGAGATGCTACAGACAGCCAGCAGAAACTCAGCTAATGTGGCAATTCAAGCTTACAGAACCTGAACACAATCTGAAATTTCTTAAAGGCAACATCAGGTGAGCAATGTCTTATTAGATAGACAAATAGATGGGCTACCTTTGAAGCATACAAAAATATTCAGGCTTCAAGGTCTCTTGACATGATTACAAAAAGCAGTACTGCTACTACTACACCAAGGACACCGTGTTACACCATATTGCCTCTCTTGTCTATCAACTTCATTTTCTCATGGATGTGCATATGGGAAAATAAGATCTGTCCAGTTTAAGGCTAGTAGTTATTCAAAGGTATAAATGCACATTTTTACAGTGCAGAAAATGGTTCAAAAATCACTAGTAATGATTGTGGTTTGACCTTTCCCTTCTGTCCATCTGACTACACAGTTTTTGTCTAAGGGAGTATTCTTCAAACTTAAGTCTGGCCTAGGGTTAAGAAACTGCTCCCAACACTGTTGTTGTTTTCAGAGTAAGAACAAACTCCAGAGATCCATTCACCTGAAGTAGAAGCTTGCTCTTAAGTCCTTCCAAACAGTATTCTCCCTCCAATCAGTGTCAGAGCCTGGAAACAGCTGATGTAAACATCTCCCTCCATATGCAAGTGTGTATATACAAGCTGCAGAGTCTGTGGACTTCTCTCTTTCTTTCCTTGATGTTAATGCTCATGGCTCTTTGCAATGATGCATTCCTCTCCATTCTCACCTCAGGTCCTAAGGATCTATCAAGCCGGTCTGGGTCATGCTAAGTCACACAAAAAAAGTACCTGCCTCAGGGGGCTAGGAAATTTTCCTCTTTATAGGTAAAGATCATGCGTGTGTCAGACTAGGAATCTGAATGCCTTGAAGTTGTTCATTATGAGTATCTCACTTCTTCTGTGCAATTGCTGTTGTGTTGTGGGTTTGTTTGTTTGTTTGTTTGTTTGTTGTTTCTGGTTCGCATCCTTTCTCCTTTTAATGCAGACCTAAGAAAGTCAAGTCATAAAAGATGTTCATCTGGTACATACCAGTCAACAGCATGCCCATAACCCCTAAAGCTATTAATTGAAGTCTACTAGAAGTTATAGACATTTATTGCAGTGAAAATGACAAAGTGCATGGCTTTCTACATAAGTTTAAAAGTACTTGGGAAGGACCCCATCAATATATCATCAAAAACAATAAGAATCAACAAGGCAAGTCCTTCACTAGTGAAATTCTGCACAATTTGCTCAGAATGACTGCTCGAAGGTGTCTTCCCTCCTTTTCTGCCATGTGTCAGCAAGGGATTCTTTTCTTCCCTTCCCTGTTACATTGCTTTATGAAACCTTCTGCCTGCCACCTGCAGAAAAAGCTGCAGCTTTTTTCTCTAGCAAAAAGTAGGAAAAAGTCTGATGTTCATGTGCTTATTATTCTTATCCAAAGCAAGCTGGTTGCCTGCACTTCTCCCTCTGCCTCCTACTTTCCAATACCAAGAGACAGGATGGCACATTTAGAAAACAGCTGAAATTTCAGCATAGAAAGTCCCCAGGAGTCCAAATCAGATGCAAAGAGAAGATATAACAGATGAGTCACAGCATCTCTGGGGGACTGTGCCCTTTTAGCACTGCAGCTGGTGCTGCAGGACTGTCACAGATGTCTAGAGTGACATGGAAGACATACAGTGTCTGTATCTAGTTTGGCATCTTGGAAGAGGACTCACCTGAAGAAGAGTATTTTTCCTTCTGTGTACCTTGTTGATCCTAGATGTTCATCCATAAGATGTGAAAAGGAGTGAAGAGCTTAAAACGCCCTCGAGGTCTGGTGTAATGGGGCAGCTAAAGTCCTTGGTAGCTTTTAAGTTCAAGATCCTTTGCAATCTCAGGGAGTCCAGCATCAGAATCAGTATTCTCAAACTTTTAAGAATACTTGGCCCAACATGTTGAATAATTCAGCTCTTTTCTTTAAAGGATTCCAGCAAATAAGTCAGGGTTGTTCAGGGGGGAGAGCATATAATGCGCCCTTCCCAGCTAAGTGTGTGGAAGAAAATACGGCTTTTTTTACTGACACAAAGTTTTATTGCTTTAGTTTTCCTGAGTATTTCTAAGTCTTAATACATCTTCTGCAATACCATCCCATTTTGAATAAAGAGCTTAAGGAACCAATTTCACGATCAACACTTTTATTTACACAAAATGGCAATATTTACAATACTTAATCAAATTATGTCATATAACAGTTTTCTGTGAATTTAAGTCATTTTGTTGCAGGTTTCAAATGGTTGTATAGGCTTCTATTGTATTTTTTTATTATATTTCAAGGACTTCCATTTTTGTCTAGACATCATCATGGTAATTTCTCTGTTAGATTTATTTTAACTGTAGAACAACTTCTATAGCCTAGCTGTTCAGAAAGCTACTTTGCTTTTCTGTGGAAGAGTTTATTAACATGATGATAATGTCTAGATTTCAAGTGAAAATCTAAACTACTTTGCTAACTCCTGAAAATCTCTTCACTTGGATGCTGCTTGAGGAGAATATCATGTTTTAGATAAGATGAGCTGTTTTACATTCCTTTCTCAATAGTACTTCAAGTACTGTTCAATTTTGTCAACATCAGGAAATTTTAAAATTGTGTTTCTGCTTGGTACAATTTTATGGCTATTGTCGTCTAATCTATTTTAATTTTTTTTTGCATTATTTTCTTGTTTTAGCTTAGCAAGATACATATGGTATACTTAGCCACCTTTTTACCCATTGGTAGTCCATAGCTCACATCCTGGGTCAGGGAGGCTTCAGATCTTTTTGAACTCTATGAAGCATTAAATCCCTATTGCTAACAAAGTCTTCTACCAGTTTAAGGCTGCAATTCTTTTCTGACTGCTACTGAGCCTCATGGGCATTCCCTGGCAAAAGTTTACAGCTCATTGTACACAAAATTTACATCTTCACCTTTCTATTGGGGATCAGCTGCTTGACATTTCAATAGCTTCCCCTCCAAGCTGCAACTGCTTCTAAGAAGCCAGTTACCTTTAACTGCATACTATAGGCAAGATGGGAATGCAGAGAAGTTCGCAGAGCCCAGTATGACTCAAAAGGTGCAACATCTGCATTTCTACTGACTAGTGATACCTGCAATCATTCAGATACAAGAGCTTCACTAATCACTCCAATAGAAAGCAGATCTCTGCCTGATAAAAGCAAGGTGTTGCATGCCATGCATTTTTGCAGACTATTTTGGTTTTACAGAGGGTGAAACTGCCATAGCAACCAGGAACTGTGAGACTTGACTGTCAAAAGATTCCACCTCCAAAGAGTTTCTCAGGTGTTTTGCTGCCAGTGGGTCATAGCACAGTATGTATTGTGGCTTCTCATTCTATAAGGACACATGCTACCCACAATGTGAACTTAAATAAAACCTCTTAAGTACTTTCAGGCAAATGTTCACCTCCAGCAAATAAAGCTTAATCTTATTTCCCCTTGGTAGGCCTCACAAATAGAGTATGCTGTCTAACACCTGTGTGTCCCTTCTTGCTGAGCAAGTCAAAACGGTGATAGCTCTCTCCTGTGGCAGAGAACATTAAAAGCACCCTAAGTGAATAAACATCTTTCCAAAAGGTTAAATGGAAAAACGTCATGAAGAACAAGGAAAACTGAATAGCAGGGAGAACATTTTGCATTATCTCTTGTATTTTTATTTATATACTGGGAAAGGAGTGTTTATGCTTCCAGCCTATACATTTCTTGCTTCTGCAGAAAGGCTGGAAGCATAAACACTTCTTGCTTCTGCAGAAATGTATGGGAACGCCCCGAGCAAGATTAAATATCTCTAAGGTTTCAGTCCCCAGCCTCCCACAAGACACAAAGGATGGTAAAGCTTCATAGCTAGAAATGCTCTGGCAGCACAAGGCAGGACTCCCAGTCTCATTTTTTTAGTGTCTTGGCTTTCTCAGAGCCAATAAGAATGTCACAGGAAGGAAGAAGTTCAGGGAAAGTATCAACATCTTTGTATGTAGCCTGCCAGAGAAAAGTGCTTAGATCAGCCTCAAATGACGCACAGAATTTTGTATCCTCTGCAAACTGTTACAACACAAACAAATACTTACTCCAACCACATGTAAAAAGAAAAAGGAACACCGATCTGAACCCTTTCCAATTCAGCCCCATGAACATGCACATATCAAAGCCTTAGTCTTACCCTTGCAGAAAACCTCATTTCTTCTTTTTTTTCATGTGATGCCCCACTCTTCTAGGGCTATAATACTTCCTCACCCTCAAGTCTTTAAGCTACTTATGTGCACAACACATCAGCCTGACTTGGGGTTTATTTAGTACTTTGTTAGAATAGAATAGTAGGGAAGTTTGCTGTGAGTTGCTCTTAAAATGGGTCTGGAGGTAATGTGGCTAATGATGCTTATTTTTTACTGCTGTAAAACCCAGCTGGGTGTAAGAGCTATGTCTGTGATTATTATCGCATGCGCTTGTATTCTCTTGTGCAAGGGTTGCATTTGGAATGAAGAGTATACATATACTTAAAAGGATACTCAAAGCAAAATGCAAACTTTCTAGAAGTTTTAAAATGGTAAAAGTAATTAAAATACATAAAATAAGGTGAAAAAACCCCCCTTTTTTAAATCAAATTCCGTCAGTAAATTCTTTTCAATTTAAACTTTAAAACTGAGATGGTAAACTAGGCTTTATTTCACTTTCCAGTCATCATTTTTACAGATTTTTAAGAAGATAAACTGATTGTTTTCTTGTTATTACTTTAAACAATATATATTGTTTATATATATAAATATATAGTAATAAAAATACCAAACTGCATGAGAATGGTAAATATTAAATAGTTTTTTGTACAGCTGAATCTTTCTGTTGTCTTATACGGCATTAAAAATACAATATAATAAAAAAATTCCTGCATTGTGGTGGGCACAATCTGACCCGTCTGTTCTGTTTCCCCAAAATACTGAAAAGTTCCTGATAAAATTAGATACATTGACGTAAACTAAATTTCTTTCCTTGATCTCTCCTGCTACCTGCTGGTCAAAGTGTTTATTGTTCTCATAACATTTTTGATTTGATGAAATCCAGTAAATAGGTCAAATGGAAAAAAAATCCAAACACACAAATCTCATAATAAGTGTTGTCTCTGCACATGCCACAAATTAAACTTCTTTACTCTTCATTTGCATTCTTGCCTTGCCAGCAGGTGCAGATGAAAACCCTCACTATGTGATATAGAGGCTTTAGAAAGTCCAGTGCTAGAAATGCACAGGTGAAAGACGATGAATAGCTGAACTGAGATTCAAAGAAGCTTTATTCGAAGATACAAGCTAAAACAGTTGTACAGTGGTAAGTGATTTGTAACAGAAGAAATGGAGTAGGATACGGGAAACACTTGCAGCACTGCTTTTGAAATTCATTAGTATTTTGAAGGGAGCTTTAGACTCTAAGTGGTTCAAGAGTCAGTGGTCAGAATGTCCTAGGCTGGAAAAAGATGTCTTGCTGGGATTAAGGGATGCGTTTGTGCCCTGAAAAGCTGTTATCTCTAAAGCAGACTAGGGTCTTCCAAAGGTATGGATGTCTTCTAAACAAGGAGGAAGTCTGAAACAACAAAGAATGCAGTTTCTTTCTTTCTGGCTTCAGGCAATGAAAAGGCTGATAAGAAGATGGATGAATACAAGTGCTAAAGTGTCTGGTGCCCTGTGATAAAGAAATTGTAGGGCAAGTTGTTGTGTTTAGGAAGGCTACAGATGAGATGCACTCAGGAGCTGCGTTCTGGTGAGGCGCTCTGCTCCTTTGAACTGTGAGGTTGTCTGCAGAAGGGTTTCTCACCGTGGAAGGACCAAGCCACATTAGTTCCAACAAGTTCTGCCTATGGACCTAGCTGTTTCTGGAAACAGGTAAGTCTGCTGTTGGCCAGGAATTTTGCATGCCACAAACCTGTGTATATAATACTTCTTTAATTTCATTCAACTGGGAATTCAGGGTGCCATACATTGGAACCCTTCTATTCATTAGGTATACTGCAGTCACAATAATGACTATACTGAGGGGTGTGCTCTTGAACAGACATCATTGGGTTTAGTGGTACAGTCAATCAAGGGGAGGGTGGATGTTAAAGGACTAGCCTTAGAGATGGTCACTTGCTATAGGGCTCTGGTAAAATGACTTATCCTTTGGTGTCCACTATGTGTGAAATAGGAGAGAGAAATTAAATTCCTTAGAACTTCTTATGTACCCAAATGCTGCAGGGACTCAGAGGAGGACAGAATGACTTAAGGAGAAAGACAGAATTGGTCTATTCTTGCTTTCAATTCTGTTCCATTTATATATTTTATAGTAGCATCAGTGGGAGAGTTTCCGTTTGTTGAACAAGTTTGTGTATTTGGAACTCTGAGTGAGATGTTTAAAACTGTTGAGTGATTTGATCTGCTGCTTTTCATCCTATAATGAACTGGGCAGTTTTTCCTCCCCACATCTCAGCCAGCTTTTAGTTGAAAATCTTTGACTTTAGTAGAAATTGCACATACAGAGCAGCTTGGAAAGCGAACGATTTTGTATATAAATCATTTTTGCATCGGCAGACACAAAGGTTTCCCACCACTAAACTTAAAATTTGAGAAACAGTAATTCCTCCCTCCCTCCCTCCCTCCCTTTCTCCCTTCTTTACTTCCTTCCCTCCTTCCTTTCCTCCTTTCTCACTGTGTTGTACAGTAATTTTGGAACCTGGGAATGCCATTCAAAGAAAAATTCCAAACGCAAATTGTGCTATGGCTGACTTACAGATAAAAATTGATCTGGAAGTGGTAAGAAGGGATTTTTTTTGTGAAGTGGTGTTACACTGTGATGCTAGGAGTTGGAAGGGAACTTACTGCTGCACAGGAACCACATATACTCTTCAATTCAGCCACTGTAACTCTGAGTAAAAATATAACCCCTGTTGTGCTTGCTACCCAAGAAAAAATCTGATCAGCTGCTGGTTCTAGTTTTTTTATTCTTTCATTCGCAGCAAGTAAATGTGCTTGAGACTGCTTGACTGGAGTGGAACTGATTGGCTAAGTTATTCTGAAAGAGATGCCCAGATTTTTTTCAGCTGATTCCAAATATCCATTCAAAATGTTTTTCTTCTCTATGGAGTGTAACACAGAAAGAAAGATTGCATTCATGAGAAAAGTAAAAGTTTTAGAATAAATGTTCTTTTTGCTCTAAAGAAAATCTGCACATATTCAGTTATTTTAAGAGTTACTACAGAATTATTTATTTTATCACAATTATGTCAGTTACCTTTTCTCAGCAGGCAAAGGTATGGCTGTTTTTTGAGATGCCCTTCATTTTAATGGATTTTTCATGGCTTTGAATATTTAATCCCTGTGTATAATTGTCAAGTTGCTTTAAAATAAAAATTATCAATACTTCTATGTGATAAGAAATAGTTAAAATTTATAATGTGCAATGAAAACTTCTTGAATTTCAGGAGAGGATGGAAGTCATGTTTTTGTAAAGGGCTGAGCTGCTGTGGGTGTAATCATTGAGAAGTTCATATTCATGCGTGGAATACATCTAACAGTACATTCAGGTAAGCTGCTCATTTTTAGGTAGAGAAATATGAGGATGGCATTTCCAAGGGCCTTGCTCCCATTTAAAATTCCCAAACATGAAAAAATTGACTTCCCTGCCAACTATAGCAGCCAGTTGTGTGAAGTAAAAGGAAGATAATCAGTAAAATCCTGCTTGCAGTAGGTTCTTTCAAAGTTACTGTCTAATACAGCAATGAAGCAGCTTCCCAGGGGTGACACTCAGAACAGAAAGTGCAGCCAGGTAAGAAAGATTGGAAAAAACCCACTGAAAATAGATGGATATGCGCAAACCAGATCATATTATTCCCTGTGCATTTAAATGAACTTAACTTAAAATAAAATTAAATTAGCCAGCTGTGTGTATTATTTTTCAAGGCCAGTATCAACTGAAATCCTTGCTACTAAACCATGTGTTATCAGTCATTCATCACATGTCATTCTGTAAGTTCAGGTCTGCTTTCTGACTGGACAAACTAATTGTGATTGCCAGTCCAGACTTACATTAGAAAGGGTTTGAAAGCTACTGCCTGTTTATAGACAGAAACGCAGTCTAGGATGGTTTGTCCTCTGGGGAAGGATTTGAAGTTATATTTGAGAAAGGAAAAATTGGGATTAAAATCCTACAATGCTTCTTTTCTGTACATCAGCAATTTGAAAAAGCTAGAACTAGTGCATGAGATTAAAAATAATTAGATGCTTCAGTCTGCTCTGTTTGTTTGGGTTTTTTTTAACTCAAATGAGTTTTTGCAAAGCTTTCTATAGTAGTGAAAACACTTGTGGCAAATACCAACTTAATTTTTGTCAAGGGGACATATCTGACACTAAATCCCACTCAGTGTAAGAATTTCTGACCTTCTTTTTTCTGTTTTTATTTTTTTGCCTAAATGATAGGTTATTTCTTCTTAAATATGAGAAATATGCATAACTCTATAGGCTCAATTATGTAAATCCATCTTTTCTGGCATACTCATCTTAAACTGCAACTTGAAGATAGCTATACTATCTACTATATATTGTAGTCTAGAAACACTAATGGAGTTCTTATGCACTTCAGGTTTTTTTATCCCTACTTATTATATCTGACATTTTTGTTTGCTTCTTGGATATCTTATAAAATTAGTTCCTGCAAAATCCCTGAAAAGTATTACTGAAAAACATGATTTTTATTTGTTGCTGAGAGTCATAAATTCTGGACCACTGTTTTTGACAGCACTGTTTGTAAAATATCTTGGGTGTTAATGATGCAAACATCATTGAGAAAGAAATAAGACTGTAAGTACTCAAACCCCAATAAAGTAAATGCTACACTAATGTTGTAAGAGAAGTGACTGACTTCTGTGAGCGAATAAAAGGAGCTCACAGGGGACATGTCTAGAGAGTTTATGTTAGCTTTTCTTTAGCAACACAAAGAGGTTATTCCTTATATTTTTCAGTAGAAAATCACAATGAATAAGATCACCGAGTGCTAGGAAATGGCCTTCACCTGCAATTTACAACCCTAGCTGCTTGAAAGCTTTGCACTTAACTCTGAGCAAGGTCAAAGAACAGAAGTTTGCCATCATCTATCATGCGATGAGTCTACCTGCTTAAATTCATTATTCATGAGTTAAGCAGAATTAGATTAAGAGCTGAATCTTGAGAACCTATAGTTAGAGAAGTGTACCCAGTCAAGAATGATGACTCCAGTGAAGCCAATTAAGGCTTGTTATTTATCCTAGCTGACAGAGCACTCAATAGTTTTGTAATGGGACACGGTCCCAGTAACTTAATGTAAAGTTCTCAGCTACTGCATAGTGCTGGTGTAGCCAATTCAAAGTGAGTCTTTCAGAAGGGGATATGTCTGAAAGTCAGTGCAAGTAGGTCTGAAAGCAGAAATGGTTATTTGCATAAATCTATGCAATATCTCAAACTAGATCATTTTAGAAATCTCTCTGCACTATAATACTAGCCCTCGAGCGATTTGGAGGATGCCATTAGAAACCACAAAATGCAAGCAAAGCGGTGCCCAGTGACAGGATGAGAAACAATGGGCACAAACGGAAACACAGGAGGCTCTATCTGAGCATCAGGAAACATTTTATCACTGTAAGGGTGACCAAGCACTGGCACAGGTTGCCCAAAGAGGTTGTGGAGTCTCCATGCTTGGAGATACTAAAAAGCTGTCTGGACATGTTCCCAGGCAACTGGCTCTAGGTGGCCCTGCTTGAGCAGGGGGGTTAGACCAGATGATCTTCAGAGGTCCCTTCCAACCTCAACCATTCTGTGATTGTGTGGCTGCATGTGGTCTTGTCTTCTTTCTGAAAGAGATAGTAATGTAGCCTGAATTCTTTAACCTTAGTCTGTAAGTTGAAACAGACTTTCCATTGGAAAAGCTTTGCTCAGGTGCTGTAGCTCTGGGTTCAAAAACATTAAAAAGAAATTGTATTTTAATATTAATTGGAAAGATTAGCTTAACAAATAGGTTATGTTACTTTGTATGGACATGACATCTTACAGTTGGCAGGAGAAAGGTGCAAAGAGGACTAAAAGGAAAAACAAACAAATTTTTTGTAATGGGCTGAAAGTGAAGGAAAAAGAAATTCCTGTCTGGGACTTGGACAACACTGAAAGTAGCACTAAGTGGTTCATTTTCAACCACAAAAGATGGTAAAAAAAGATAACTACAGTGAGGACAGGCGTTACCCTTGTAGGATGTTATAAGTTCTTGTAAAGCTGTCAGTATGTGAACAAGGATAGCTGGATAATAACACTTGGGACTGGAACTAGACTGAAAGTAAATCCTCGTAAGAACAGAAGACATAGGGGTAGAGGTGGATGTGAAAGGCCATTCTAACAGTTAAAAAGTGAGGTCTTGAAAAGAATGAGACTGGGGGGTGCAATGTCAGTTTCCCTCAGCAAAAACTTACCTATTTTAGAATTGATCAAGCTCCTTGGGCCAACACCTAATAGAGACAACATGTTACTGACAACAGTATGAAGGCTGTGCACTTTCTTTCACACAATGTCTGGCTTTAAGAGCATGCTCAATTACTGTAATTAAACCCTGTAAGGGCATGATTCTGTAGAATCAGTGCAGATTTGCTTCAGTTTCTCTGTTCTAAAGATGAAGAAAAAAGCTGTAGAAAGGAACCATAACAAGATTTTGTAATGGTTTCCTTTCACTTCCATAACCTTGTCTAGCATGTAGGAGAGCTGAATTCCCATTCAGGGGTGGGACAGGTTTGAATAAATTCTGCTGTTTACCTAGGGTCAGCTGTCCTGAATTCATGATGCAGGGAGGAAACCCCATCATAGTGGGGATCATACAACTGTCCATATAGCAGGAGTGGACCTGTGATAAATGACTGCATCTGTGTCTGCAGAAAAGGGGTTTTGCTCTACAGGGTGGAGAGGCCATGTGCAGAATCTGGCTTGGAGGTCAACCATTCTGGAACCTAAGCCATTTAATTAGAATTATTACTAAGACACAGCTGTATAGGAAAGAAAAAAATTGTACACCAAACTTTGGTCAAAGTGTAATGCTTTCAAGATATTAAGCTGAACTACTTACTATAGGATTGCAGTAAGCCTCTGGTGGTTCTGAAGATGCTTTAGCAAAACTGATGAGGTTTGGGAATAGATTTATAGTGTCCCACAGCTGACAAAGGAGAGTTTTAGACCATTTCCTGCAACCTTCTTTAGTATTGAATAGTTAAAATAGTGTATCAGGTGCAAGCTGGCTGTTTTGTAAATATTTTCACAGTGGCATAGCATTGAACAGTTCATATCAAGACACATATTTGGAAGTGGATATATTTGCATGTGCTTTCAGGTAAGTCCAAATGGGGGAAAACATCTCCATGAAATCTGTTGGTTTACAGCTAAACTAAACAAACAGGATCAAATCAGTACTTGTTCTCAGTAATTCAGCAGCTCTGATCCAGTATCCTGTTGATTCAAGGTGAACACTTAATTCTCAACGTCATTATAGCAGACCATACAGCTCTGTAGGGTGCCCATCGTAGTAGACAATTATGTGCTTTTGTAGTTCTACAGTGAAAGTCTAGTAGAGAATTCTGAGAAAGAAAGTGGTGGGGGCAGAAGCATGTAGTCTCAAATAACTTTTCTAGATTGAGATCTTGGAAGTAATACTCTGAATTTGCCTTAAAGAACAGGACACGTTTTGCTGAAACAAGTAATTCTCCTTGCTTAAGTTGTGAGAACTCAGCAAGTTTAAAGTTCAGGTTTTTGTAAAGCTTCTTAGGTTTTTGTAAAGTTTCTTACAGTTGTGTTATACCGGTTTTGAGAAAATCATCTTTGGTCAAGGAACAGCTTAACAATAAATTCAAGTAAGTCTAAAGAAAACTCAAGAACCTGATTATTCCAGAGTAACTACTGAGCAGCAGTACGAGGTTGCCTGGAATTGGGTGACTTCCACAGGTTTTAAAATCTGAGTTCTGAGTGGCATTTTGAAGTGGTTTGTTAATAACTTCCATGGCAGCGGGAATGCTGGAGGTGGCAATGCACTTAGCTTTGGGACAAGGACTCTTCTGAAGGCAAATCCAAGTGAGTATAATGGAAGAAGAAGAGGAAAAAAACCCATGTGTTGGAATAAAGAGTTATCTGAGTATATTCCACTTTATGTTTGTGCAGAAGTTTTCAGGCTTACTGATGTGTAGCTAGTCATGTGCAGATAAGAAAGAGATAATACTGAATTTTGGGGCTGCAACGCCAGTTTCCAGGAATCTCTGCATCTATTGGAATGAAAATAGAGGCAGAAAGTGGGACTGAGTTGCTCTGTAGAGTGTCTGTCATAATTTTAGTTATAGAGGAAGATTATGGAAGTTTGTGGTTTGTTTGGTTTTTTTTTTCCAAAACTGGAAATGTGAGAACAGAGGCAAATTCATATCTTAGAGAGGAATAAATCCTTAAAGCTTGGTCATCATTTCGGTGCTTTTCAGGGCATGGGGGGCATTTGAAAAAAAAAAAACCCAAAGTGAAGAAATATCATTGTTGTGTT